CGTTCTTTATATGTACGGAAACCTTGTGACATATTCTACAACTTGGTTAAGATTATTTATTCTAAATACTCTTTTGTCGAAAAGTCATTTTCGACCTCTTGTTACCTCTAAATTGACTAGCCTGGATCTGCGGGCGTTACATGATGCTACGGGAAGCCATAGTAATCACTAGTCCAAGGTTGTTGTGATGCTACAGAAAGCCATAGTACTCACTAGTCAGAGGTTTTTGTGATGCTACGGGGAGCCGTAGTACTCACTAGTCAGAGGTTGTTGTGATGCTACGGGAAGCCGTAGTACTCACTAGTCAGAGGTTGTTGTGATGCTACGGGAAGCCATAGTACTCACTAGTCAGAGGTTGTTGTGATGGTACGAGGAGCCGTAGTACTCACTAATCAGAGGTCGTTGTGATGCTAAGGGAAGCCGTGATACTCACTAGTCAGAGGGAGGTTGATGCGATGCTACTGGAAGCCATAATACTCTCTAGTCAGCGAAAGGTGGTTATGAAGAAGTACTCTTTGATCTGAGCACGATGACAAAGAGTTTTGGGCTGGAGTAGCCCTAATAGTTGAGTTTTGGGGTGCCTGGCGCTCGAACCAGGGAAGAGACTGGGGTCCCCATATTTGTCGGGAATTGTTATATTCTGACTTGATTGGTGGTTGTCGCAACAGGAGGGTATTGGAAAAGTGCTATTAGTGCGGATTGCAGGTTGATTCATGAGATGATTGTTTCATTGGGACAAGTGGTTCCAACTTTGGATCGGACCAAACTCTCGAGTTTGAGCTTGGCTTTGGTAGTGCGTTGGGTAGGCGAGAGGAGATTTTGGATTCTGAGATGGATTATTGGTTGAGGGGTATTGTTTTCACCTGATATCTTAGACCTGGTGGGGTCAATTCGTTAGTACGGGAAATACTAGTAGGTGAATGAGACAAATGAGTATTAATTCGGATAAGGTCGAGGGTGAGGCAATTTCCGATGGGAGTATGGTATTCGTTTGGGGTAAAGAGAACTTATGACTTTTGTGTCACTAGGATGAGATAGTTGATGTGAGAAGGAAGTCAGCGAGACACTGGGAACATGTTATGATTAACCTTTGGAGTTAATGGTTGGTTGAGAGATGACCTAATACCTAGGGTGGAGAAGGGATCATTGAGAGTAAGTTGGGGGTTTATGATTATAGATGTCATAGGACATTTTGTGTGAGCATGATTATTTCTTATATCTAAAGGCGGAGTGTTGAAATTTCTTTGAACCGGTGGGGTTCGATTTCAGGACAGGAGACGATTCTTTGGTGTAATGTGCCCCTTTCGACTATAGAAGTATATTTGGGATTGTTTGCTACGTATGGGATGGGTGATTGGTGTCGGATTGTTGGGTTTATAGTTGGAAAGTCAGGAGGGATATCTTAACGGTAGAGGGGCTGGTTTATTCTGAATTTAGGAGTTCCTGGTCGGGTCCAGGTATCCATAGAGGAAGATGTCGTTTTGGTGTGAAATTATTTCAGGGGTGATTTTCGGATGTTTGGTTTCTTTCTATGTGGTTGGAGGAGCGATTTCGAGGGAGAAATCAAATTAAGTGGGGGAGAATTGTAACATCTGGGATTTCGGGTATGTTAGTTTGTGTTTCAATTTTGAGGATTTAGGAGGGACTCGACGAGTCGAGAGTCTGACTCGCCGAGTCACGTCGAGTTGATTGCGGGTATTTAATGAAAGGACTCGACGAGTCCAAGTATGGACTCGTCGGGTAGGTGCTGGGCAGAAAATACAATAAGTTCTGGGGTTGGAGCCTATTTAAAGGAACTTATGACCTTGGATGCACCTCATATCTCCTATGAGAAACCCTAAATCGCCATTGAAGCCTTTGGAGAGTTCTTATGATGAAATCAAGTAATTTGGTGGGTTTTGTGGAAGGAAAAGAGCATGACTCAAGCAAGGAATGAGATGAGGGCAGTGGATCTAGCATCTCTTCGCATGGGAATGCTGTAGGAGGTATGAATATATACTCATTCTCGTGTATTTGGTGGTTTTTTTGAATCTAGGGTTTTCTTATTCCTTCTTTAGCTTGGATTCGAAGCTTATGAGGTCCCAAGGTGGAATAAGTCTTAGATCTGGACCTTAAGAGGTCCAGAGAGTCCCAACCATTCTGCTTTATGTTGTTTCATTGGAGATATGAACCTAGGTTGCCATTTTAGAAGCTATTTCACCAAAAGAAGGCTTGTGTGCATTGTATGAGTGTCAAGATTGGACCTTTACGTGATTATTGGGCATAGGGAAGTCAGATCTAGAGGTTAGAGAAGCAGATCTGACCTCAGAAGGTCGTTTAAGTGTTGCCATGGAAGAAACTCGCCGAGTCCATAAGCGGACTCGACGAGTCGAGTCGGGCTGCCTCGCGATTCATGACCAGTGGCGATTTAGGGTTGAATGTGAACTTCGTTGTCGAATGGTCCACACTATGTCGTAGTTAGGTGCAAATATGTGTGAAAAGTCGAGAAAATAAGGACAAAAGAGATGGACAGTCGTGGGAAGCTTAATAAGGTGAAAAAGATTGATGAAGAAGATGAAAAATATGAAATGGGTTTCTTGAAGGGAAAATGACTTATAAGCCCAACAAAGTTTCCAAACCGTTCAAAAAAACCAATCAAGTTTTGTTTGTTCAAGAAAACACAACGAACTTAACATTTTGTCTAAAAAAGCCCAACTAACTTACACTTTCGTTCACTTCTCATTTAGGGTTAACCAGCTAATAAAAGTCAACGAATGACATGGCTTATGACGTGTAATTAAATGCCAGAAAATGATTTGTAAGACTAACAAAGTTTCAAAACCGTTCAAAAAATCCTAATCACATTTTGTTTGTTGAAAAAAAACCCAATGAACTTACGCTTTTGTTCAATTCTCATTAGCGGCAACCAGATTCATTAGGTATACAACTAGTTGGCAAATGACATGACATTATATTTAATGACATGGAATAAACAGATTAGAATTTCCCCTTATATATTGATTTATGGCTTGGAGAAGAGAAAAACGAATGACATATGTGTTTGATCTCTTGTAATAGCTACTTCTTATTCTTTCTCTCAATCGTTGATGCCTAACTCAAGATCTAAAAAAAAGATATTTGATGATGAAAACCCTTATGGATGTGGACACCCATCTTGGATTTGGACATATAGAATCGAGGATCATCCAAAGAAAATTTTTTAGGGCTTGTTCAAACAAAGTTTAGGGCTTGTTCTAACATATTGGTAAGTTTAATTGAAAGCTTTATCATGTTTATGTTCTATCTATTTGTTTAGTTTCTTTCAAAAACAAAAACTTATTAAAATAGACATGATAAAGCTTTCAGTTACACTTACCCATCTGTTCGAACAAACCCTAAACATTTTCTCTGGATGATCCTCCATTCTAGATGTCCAAATCCATGAACGGCGTCTACATCCATAAGAGTTTGCATCATCAAATATCTTCTTTGTAGATCTTGAGTTAGACATCAACGATTGAGAGGAGGAAGAAGAAGTAGCTATTACAAGAGATCGAACACATATGTCGTTCGTTTTTCTCTTCTCCAAACCCTAAATTGATATATAAAAGGCAATTCTAATCTGTTTATTCCATGTCATTAAATATAATACCATGTCATTTGCCAACTAGTTGTATACCTAATGAATTTGGTTGCCTCTAATTAGAATTGAATAAAAGCATAAGTTCGTTGGGTTTTTTTTTTTTCAAAAAACAAAACATGATAGGGGGGTTTTTGAACGGTTTTGAAAATTCGTTGGTCTTACAAGTTATTTTCCGATATTTAATTACATGTCATAAGCCATTTCATTCGTTGACTTTCATTATTTGGTTGACACTAAATGAGAAGTGTAAGTTAGTTGGGCTTTTCTAAACAAAATGTTAAGTTCGTTGGGTTTTCTTGAACAAACAAAACATAATCGATGTTTTTTGAATGGTTTAAAAACTTCGTTGAGCTTATAAGTCATTTTCCTCATCTTGAAAGTTTAAACATGTAACTAACACATGGATGTGTTTTGATATAATAAAGTATAATTGTATAATGGTGGCAATACAAGGATGTAGCAGAGGTACAAGATATTGGACGATAATGCCCTTACGTGTAGGCCATGTCTTGAGGGTTAACGAACGCCCTTAGACGTTGTCTGTTCAATAGACCACTTTTACAAGAAAAAATCACATTTAGGAATACAGATGCAAGAAAAAAAAAAACTTGGACTCGACTTTTCCGATTAGCAAACCAAAGGGACCATTTATGATTTAGTCTTATTAACCTTTTTTTTAATCATATTTTCAATAATCCAATTATTTCTTTAATTAAATCATAATATGCCATTTGCTTAGAGCAAAAACAAAAGCCGGCAATGCAAACCAGCCGACCCGTTGATGCTTTCTTTCGACTGATCATTTCATCAAATTACATCAAATCAATTAATTAATTAATTTTAACTTTATTCTAGTTGCTATTACATTCTGAATGACTTCACCTATAAAAAGTGTACAATTTCACTTGCAAAATGCTAAACTTGCTAAGTTGCCAAAAGTAGTCCTCGGTTATTATGAAAGCAGCAAGACTTTTGGGTCTACTTTTACTAGTTACACTTGCGTTAGGCCATGGAGCCGATGATAGAAAGGTAACATGTTCTCTCTTGAAATATAATTTATTCTACATTGTTACGTTAGAAGGGACATTACAATGTCATACTTGCAAGAGAATTTACAGTTTCTTTAACAAAATAAACCTTTTTAGCGATAATCTCTCACAAAAAATTTCTCTTGTGGTTAACAAATGTATTTCTTCATCTATAGCATTACATAGTCTACATGGGACAACACTCACACCCGAGCTCACAGTCTGTCATCTCAGCTAACCATGAAATGCTCACGTTGGTTCTTGAAAGGCAAGTACATAATACATTCGTTTATTATATTATCGGAGCATTTATCCCATGGATATCGGATAGAGATCCATGAGACAAAAACATGGTTTTTGTGACAAAGCTATTCTTTTCCAGTTATAATGGAGCAAAAGAAGCAGCAATCCATCATTATACTAAAAGCTTCAGAGGTTTTTCCGCCATGCTTACATCCGATCAAGCAACAAGACTTTCAGGTTTCCTCATTTATATACCAACTGAATAAAAACTTGGCGTTGGATAAATTATTTGTATACATTAAAGTCGTAATAGATCTCGGAAATTAGAAAGACTATGTCTAAAGGAACTAGAGTATCTCTAACTGTTTATCTTTTGTATTTTTAACAGTATTCTAATCAGTTTACAATTCCATTTGTATCACAGAAAACGAAGCTGTTATTTCAGTCTTCGAGAGCAGAATGAATCAACTGCATACGACTAAGTCATGGAGATTTCTAGGAGTAGATTCTATTCCACAATATAACAAACTTCCAATGGATATAAAATCAGATGTAATTGTTGGTGTCATTGATACTGGTAAGTACTTGTTAATTAAAAAACTATAATAACCACATAAAGTTCATTTCTAATAGAAACAACACTCTTTTTAGGCTTTTGGCCGGAATCTCAAAGCTTCGATGACTATGGACTGGGGCCTGTGCCAATAAAATTCAAGGGAGAATGTGTTCCTGGACAGAAATTCACACAATCCAACTGCAACAGGTAAGCGTTGCAAAAAATAGTCATGTTCGTCACTAATTGTTCTCTATGCGTCACTAAACATTGTCTTATATCATTTGCAATAACCTTGTAATTTCAAAAGGAATATTTTCAAATGTCAAATTTCGAACATCCATTAAAAAATGTTTCGTCACAATAGTCCCCACTTCGCAAACTCTTTGCAGAAAGATTATAGGAGCTAGATACTACTCGAAAGGATTTGAAGCAATAAACGGACCTCTAGAGAACCTCAACCGAACTTTCTTTCGATCAGCACGAGACACTGATGGCCACGGGACCCACACCTCCTCTACTATCGCCGGAGCAAAAGTCTCCAACGTGAGTTTACATGGGTTAGCATCCGGTATAGCCACCGGAGGTGTACCAAGTGCTAGACTTTCCATCTACAAAGCTTGTTGGTTCAACGACTGTGAAGACGCCGACCTTCTCGCAGCACTCGATGATGCGATACACGATGGTGTTGATGTTATTTCTATGTCTCTTGGTCCATTTCCACCTCAACCGGTTTACTTTGAGGATGTGATTTCGATTGGATCATTTCATGCTTTTGATAAAGGAATTGTCGTATGCGCGTCTGCTGGGAACAGTTTTTTGCCAAACACGGCGACCAATGTGGCCCCGTGGATCCTTACTGTTGGTGCTAGCACGATTGATCGCGAATTTCCGTCATACGTGCTACTTGGAAATATGAAGCAATTGAAGGGTTTCGGTGTAAACACCACACCTGATGTAGGGAAACAATATAGTCTTATATCTGGAGGTGTTGCTGCAGCTTCCGGTATCCCATCAAGAAATGCAAGGTATTCTAAAGAACTTAACCCCAATAAAACAATTATTTGCTAATTCAGTTACTCCTATTATCTAGCTTTTGCAAGAAAAACACATTGGATTCAAACTTGATAAAGGGGAAGATTGTGGTGTGTACACTTGAGAGTTTGACCGAGGACAGAAAAGAGAAAGCGATTGCAATAAAAGAAGGCGGAGGTGCGGGGATGATCCTAGTTGATCCTCTAGCGAAATACGTTCTCTTTCAACCTGTGATCCGAAGCGTTTTAATTGGTCAAGAAGAAGCTCAAGAGCTTCAATCGTACATGAACACTAATAAGTAAGTTCCCACTCATGTAACTCTATGTAGAGAATGCATTTATAACAACACAATTTTGATCTAATAGTTAACTTTTCATCATGATCCAAGGAACTCGACTGCTAGAATCTACCAAACAGTAACACATGTCGGGATTAAACCAGCACCAATCATGGCGATTTTTTCCTCCAAGGGGCCGAATATAATAACTCCTGACATCATTAAAGTTAGTATTTTTACCATTATATTAGATTTTTTCCAAATGAATATCGATTCTAATGCATGATGGTTGCAACTACTGAATGCAGCCGGATATCACTGCACCAGGGGTGAACATTTTGGCTGCATGGTCACCTTTAGCGACGGAAGACACTGCTGGCAACAACCTTAACTATAACATAATCTCCGGCACATCTATGTCATGTCCACATGTTGCTGGAGTCGCAGCATTGTTAAAATCAGTTCATCCGAACTGGAGTCCTGCCATGATAAAATCTGCGATAATGACCACAGGTCAACCCTTCGCTTAGTGTTTGATTCCTTTGACTTAATGAACTTAACAGAACAGAAGCCATCACTAAACTATATATACCATTATTATTTTTTTTAACTGAATGTAACAAGAATGACTTGCATTAAGTACAAAAATCTTTGGTGATCCATGAGATGGTTTTTGAAGAAGGATCAAAGTTTAAGTCCTAAAAGATAATGCACTATGACCACCTATTCAACGTCATCCTATGTGATGCACACTTGTGTTTCTCATTCGTTTTATTACAAGAAAATCATCTTTCTTATCGTTTCATTCTCACTTTTCGTACAGCTGTTAGAACCGATAACACCCGAAACCTCATAAAAAACGACGATTCAACTTATGCGACACCTTTTGATTACGGATCAGGACACATAAATCCGGTTGCAGCGGTCAACCCTGGACTTGTTTACGATTTTGACACCAATGATCTCATCAACCTCCTTTGCAGCAGCGGTGCAACTCTCTCACAAATCAAGAACTTGACCACAACGCCAGTTTACTGCAAGAATCCTCCCACAGCCTCCTACAACTTCAACTATCCGTCGATTGGTGTCGCTAATTTGAGTGGAAATTTGTCGGTGTACAGGACAGTTACTTACATTGGTGAAGGCCCGGCAGTTTTTTATTCGAAACTAGAAATCACAGGAGTAAAAGCTTCGGTTTACCCTAATGTTATGAGGTTTGGGAAGTACGGGGAGAAGTTGACTTACAGGATTGATTTTGGAACTTATAAGAGCAGCAATGGCAGCTTTGAGTTTGGATCGTTGACATGGATGAATAACATTTATAGGGTTAGGAGTCCGATTGCAGTTAATGTGGTCTCGGCTTAGGAGTCTACCGTGTATAGTTGAATTTGATTATTTATATTATATACGCGTTGTTTCTTTTGTCCCTTATACATGAACCAAAAAAAATTAAAGTCATTCTCGATGCTTCATTATCCGAACAATGATAATTTAGCGACGAGGTTGAATCCGACCATAGAAATTCAAACAATCATTGACATATATTTGAATTTAAAAATAAGCAACGGATGTGATGGGTTAGCGACGGAAATAAAATCCGTCACCAAAACCCGTGGCTGAATTTGAACCGAGTGTTGTTCAAAACATATGCATGTGAATATGTTTTGTGTAACGGCTTAAAACTTAAATCTAGAGTTTAGTTGGTAAATAAGACTAGTGTAACGACCCAAATTTATGTACTATTAATGAGAATAGTATTCCGTTAAGTTTATCATTAAGCTAACATTTTCCTTGGTTTAAAGCTAACTTATGGGTGCCAAAGTGTAATAAAATGATTCTTGATCACGTATATGGTTAAAGGAGTCATCTTGTGATACTTTGAGGGCCAAATATGAACATTATGGACTATTTAAAGAGGGTTTGTAACCTTATTTGGTTAAAGGAGTCATCTTGTGATACTTTGAGGGCTAAATATGAACATTATGGACTATTTAAAGAGGGTTTGTAACCTTATTTGCAGCCAACAACTCAAGTCAGAGAGTGTTTGTGATATGGTTTCTTCCTTTGTGGTTTGAAGTTGATTCAAGTGAAGAAGTGTATTCTTAAAGCATACTTGGTGGAATTGGTGTATGGTTCTTCTCATCCAATCTCTCCTATAATTCCTTAAGATTTCTAGAGGTTAGTAATATATCTTTAAACCTCACTTTTTGTATTGATTCCTTATAAATGGTTGTTGTTGTTGACTTCATGGACAATTTAGGAGGTTATAGTGATGTTTGTCAAAAAATTAGAAATCTGAACATATTCATTGACCTGTCTTGCAAGGGTTGTAGAGGCCATTCTGGTTTAAATTAGTCAAAATCACCAAGAAAAAGTTGTAGGAAATTGAGTCTAGTTTCCAGAAATTCTGATATCAGCCAATTTGGAGTTGTGGAATTTGGTTTATGCTCATAACACTTAATAGGGATTGGGCTAGAAAAATCCTAAAACTTAACAACGTAGTATGAGTTGTAGTCAAGGTTGTGTAATTAGTATTCACTTGATAATTGGTTGTTATTGTGTGTTTTAAGGGATTTCTTGACAACTTCAAATGGTTTAAATACTTGAAGCGAACCGAGGCATCTGTTCGCGTTAGGGTGAGTCATCTTATGCTGCTAATCTAGTACCTTGTTGGAGAAATTTCATAACCTAGAATGTATGAATCGAACCTAGGATATTATAGGAAGTATGTGCGCTAAGTGTGTATCCTTTATGTGCTAGAAATTCCATTCTCTTTTTGTCGAGTAATAGTCTAGTATGTATTGCTTTTTAGACTCTTGTTATGATGATTAGGTGTGAACTGTGTGATTAGGTTCATGCTAGAAAGAGGGATATGTGTTGATTGTGTGTTGTGATGTATGCATGTTGTGATTTTCTAGAATTTTTATTGTCTATGATGTTAGGGCAATGCATGCTAGTGATATAATATGCCTTGACAATATGATGATGGGTAATACATGATGATATGGTAATGTGTAAATGGTGGAATGTAGATGGCCCTATTGTATGTACATTAATAATAAATTAATAATGGGGAAACATACTTAGAGGGGGAAGGGTAGAAACCTAGACTTAGTTGTGTATTATATTCGGATTGTAGATGGCCTCAGAAGTTGAAAAAGTACCTTTAGGATAAGAGATTAAGTCAACACTAAAGTTGAGTGGTTTTTCTAGGCAACTATTTAGTTACATGGTCCCTGCGATGGGAGGACTAGAGTGGTGTTGGCTATGTGGTGGAGCCATCATCAGCATAATGTTTGATTAGGAAGTATATGAGGTCGGAAAGATAACAAAAAAGACCAATCTCAAACGATAACGCATGTACTTGTACATGCAATGCCAGAGTAGCGAACACAACACATCGGGGGCAATGTTACGAGTGAGAGTGGGCCTCACTTAGTGCATTGGGTCGAGTTGGTTACGTTTGTAGTGAATGGGGTATTTTTTCCTTTTGGGTTAGTGGTGAATACAGAAACCCATAATAATGAAGATCAATATTTAATAATATTGTAGTGATGAAAATGGTGAATAATTTCAAAGATGATTTAGTGATGAGTAATTATTAAAGAAGGAACAAGTGAAGAACAATATTAACATATTGTTGTGATGGTTATATGATGTATCCTATGCTATGAAAATTTGGAATTTGTTTACATACTATACGATGCTTTATTGACCCATTTTGGGATATTCATGTTTTGAAACATTGTACTTATGATTGACTCACTCAGAGTTTGCTAACACTTGTTCTTTGCTTGTTGCTTTCTCCTTGCAGGGTTCAGGTAGCGTGATTGATTGGATTATTGAGGATGGGACTTTGGGTTGCCATGTTCTTGATATTTCTTTAGTAGATGATATCATCTTGTACATGTTTTTTGAGTTTTCATTTACAGTTGGTTTTTGCAAACTTTAACTTTGATGAGTGTAGTTTTTTCTTAATAATAACGTAACGTTGGTGATGTTTTGAAATAAGACTTCCACTAAACGTATTTTGTTAATAAGTGTTTTGTAACGTCCGGATTCTTCATGTAAAATTCTTTCATTTAAAACTCCTTTACCATTGGACTAGACTCAAGTAAACTGGGCATACACAAGGTATGCAGGGCATACTCCATTTGCATGCACGGATCGGGGTGATCCCTACGTACGTTGGGCGTACCCATGCGTACGCAGAGCGTACTTAGGCTAGAGGCAAACCCTAATTTTTTAGGGTTTCTACCCTATTTAAGCACCTTAATCCCTTCACCCTTTTTACCTTATCAGCCTCCACTGCCCTTTTAGTGATAATCTCAAAACCCTAGCCACCTTGAGTGTATTTTGAGCTTACAAGGAGCTTTTTGGTGTTTTTTTTTTGTGGTTTTGAAGAAGAAGGAACTTGGGGAGAAGAAAAAGGAGAAGGAGAAGCTTGTAGATCCAAAGTTTGTGCATCATTTCTAGTTGATTGGAGGTATAAAGTCTAAAACGTGCCTATTCTATTCTTAGATCTAGGTTTAGGGTTGAAATTAACATCTTTTGGTCCCATAACTTAATCTATTGGAGTATGGACTACTCCAAACCATTTAAACTATCTTTTTTGACTCTTTGGAGTGCTAGAATACATAAGAATCATATCTTGATGTAACATCCGAAAAATAAGACTAAAAAATTTCATTTTAAATTAATAAAACCAATATTCCAGAAACATCATCGTAATCCAAATAAAAAGAATGTGTCAATCATCACATCATATCAGAGTAAGTTGAAAAAATGTGAAACGAGGTGGTGTGTGCTCTGCAATCATCCCGAGTTCTTCCCTATGAAAACAGAAGTGCTTGAAACATAAACTAAAAACTGTAAGCACAAAGCTTAGTGAGCTCCCCAAAATACCACACACATCATATCACAAATAAACAACTATGGGTTATCAACAACTATGGGGACTACCAACAGTCCCAGTGGGCTAATAGCACGCCCGATGGGTTATCAGCAACCTTAGAGACTATTAGCAGTCTCAGTCACATATAAACAACATAACATAATAATAAAAGCTAGACAGAGCTGGTCACCACAAATACAACTATTCTACCACACAAGCTCATTCAAACATGAAAAAGTCATAGAGATAGCTAGCATCCTACATATATAATTTAGTGAGTCGGCATTAGTGCCTTTGACTCATGAGTACCAGAAGAAGACTCACCTCGCACTGCTGAATCACACTGATAACTTCCTGGTTGCTGGTCCGACAAATCCCCGAGCTCTAAAGTCTTGCAAAAAGGGTGATGATTCTAGATCTAAAGGCCCCTCACCAAGTAAAGCACATACAAACTTCTTCATTTCCTTCACAATGGGAAAAAATGACACCACAATCTTCCCAAGTGCTCAAAACACCACAAAGAAGGCTTAAGGGTCGATTTAGGGTTTTAGGAGGTTTGGGGGCTAGTAAAGAGGCCAGCCCTAAAGACTTAAGGTCCTTAAATATGGTACAACACACTTAGATTAGGGTTTCCTTCACTCCTTGTAAGCCCATCGTACTCCTGGTACACCCAACGTACGAGGCTTCGACCTCGCGAACATTCCCTCCTGGTACGCTTATCGTTCACTAGTGTACGCATCGCCTACTTCACTTCACACTAGTACGCCCTGCGTACTCCCTATGTACACCCCGCGCACTAGGGTTACCCTTAAACCCTAAAATACTCCAAAGGCCATAACTTCTTCATTACGAAACCAATTTCAACGATCCTAATATGCACGAAAAGGTAACAAGAAGCTCTACGACTTTATTAACTCATATGTGCCTTAAGATTTCCTAAACAAAATCCAATTCCATAAAATCCCGAGCTAACACTTTACCAAACTACCCCTTGGTTCCAAAACAAAAACCAAATGTCCGAATCATCTAAATTACGTCACCCACACCCAAATGGGAAACGATTCGGGACATGGCGTTACAACTCTCCCCACTTACGTTAGATTTTGTCCTTGAAATCATTCCTTACTATTCCATGCACTAGGAGACTTGAGCAACACCATCACAAACCTGAGTGTACCACATCCTTCCCCAAGGTGACCAAGCCTAGTCTTAGCAGGGCTCTCCAAACCCGAAAATTAACGAATCCTTTTCCAACCTAAAATAATCCAATGTAGAAAAGCCATATCTACTCTACCTGAAATCTGAAGTCTCAAATTGGTCTAACTCCCTGACAGACTGACCGTATTGAACCGTTGCTAAATCCATTCCACTTATCCCCTAAATTGACTACTCAATTTATGATAACCTGAGGTTCCCACTAGAAAAAAATCACAAATCGTAAGCTGCTACCGACAACATCTCACTTGGCAAA